CGTGGCCGCCCAGCCTCTACTCAGCTTGAGTGCTGCCTCGGCGTGTGAGCCAGCAAGCGTGCTGCCGCTGGTTGCCTGCCCGCAGGAACTCTTGGAAGCGGCCTCTGGGCTGCCCAAGCCGCAGGGCAGCGCCCGGGCCAGCAGCATGCCCGCCGCGGAGGCTGGTGCGACGCAAGATGCCGTGGCAGGTCAGCCGGCGGCAGGTGGCGGCGGTATCGGGCTCAGCAGCGCCGTCCTTCCCAAGCCCAGGCCTCAAAAGGAGCAGCAGCAGCAGCAGCAGGTGGAACAGCAGAAGCCGGCAGCGGGTGCCAAGAGCAAGGGGCGCAAGCGGCGGTGAGGGGCCGCGGCGGCGCTCTAGCCACCACGGCCGCACCGAGGAGGCCACCGGACCAGCGATCCAGTCCAAGCGTTGCTTCCACCGGCGAGTGGCAGCAGCCAGCCATGGCGACCATGCCACCTGTTTCGTTGTTTTCATTCACTGCGAGTGCTGGGAACCGTGCCGCCCATACCTGCCCAACCAACCGTCAGCTGTAGCCACCAACTCTGGCCTGTACCTGCCAACTGTGCCTTGCTTGCCCAGCCAGCCTCTTTTCTGTCCCACCCCGTGGCCTACACTTGATGGCCCTGCCCTTCATTTGATCTGCATGCGTAATGTGCACCGCACTGCTGTTGAGCGAGCATACCCGTATCATACTTTCATGCCTGGCTGCTGCACACAAAGCTCGAATCAGTCTCCTGTAACACCGCTGTGCACAGCTTTCGGGGGAACATGAAGAAAGGCGAGGAGTCCGCTTTCCTAGGAACAGCACCCTGACGGGCTGCGCAATGAGCTGCAGACGCAGGGAAAAGGGACAGGTAGGGTGTTGCGCGGGGCAGCAGATTTGGCTAGATTCTACTGAACGGGAAAGAGCAGCGCCCATCAGTGCAATATTCCAAACACACGGGCGGCCGATGAAAATCTGAAAAAGGTGTTCAAACGGCAGCAGCAGCTGTCTGTCGCATCTGCCGTAGCCATTTGGCCCGCCATTGCAGGTCAGCATGCATCAGAACAGCAGAATAAAGGAGGAATGGAAACATGGGGGGGCAGGAGGAAGAAAGAGGGAGTGGGAACCGCGGCACTGACCCACAGCCGCTCTTGTTTGTTTGCGGGGAAGAGGGGAAGCAAGAAAGCAGATGGCCGCCAGGCATGGGTGTTGTGGCTTGCATCACACCAGCGAGGGGTGAAAGCATTTTGGAGGCGAGAAGTGGTTGTGCGATTGCATTTCAACGATACTCAGCGAAAGGGCGAACTGGGGTTGCTTGTGCTGGCACAGTTGCCACCGCGCCAGCCACTTGCAATTGCTACCCGAGGTCATTGCAGCAGGGCAGGCAGGGGAAGCAGTTGCCGCGCAGGCCGGAGCCGATGCCTTGCGACAGGTCCAGCCCCTGCTGCTCCGCATCCTTGTCTGCCCGCAGCCAGTTGAGCTGCGCAGGGGAGGCAGCGGGGGGCAGTGAGGCGAGGGGAGGCGGGGGGAGATGCTGCCTGAGTGGCGAAGGCTGCGCTCCGGCAGGCCAGGACCTCGCCACCCCTGCCCACCTTTTTCAGCACCAGAAACATTCCGCCGGACAGGCCGCAGGACCAGGCGGCGATGACGACGATGCCCAACACCTGCAGGGAAGCCGGGCGGAAGTGGTACTGGAGGCGTGCTGGGCGCCACCCGGGGTCGGGGTGAAGAAGGGCCCAGGCCGCCCGGCGCTGGCACCCCACAACACGGCCCGGCAGCCCCGGCACAGTCCCATCGATGGCCCCGTGGCGGCGCCAGCCACACACGCCGCCAGCCATGCGCCACCACCCAACCACCCCAGCCAGCCTCGCACCTGCATCCCCAGCTGCTTGCCGCTGCCGCCGTAGAACACGCCCCAGTCGTCGGCATAGCCGTACGCCATCTCAGTTGAGGTCTGCGGGGCGGGGACAAAGGGATACGAAGCAGCGAAGCGGTGGACAGCCGGCTGCGGGTGCAGGTGCGGCAGTGGCTGCATGCGCCGGTGGCCTCGATGCTGCCGCGCTCGGCCCCGGCTCTACCCCAAGGTACAGTAGAGTGGGCTAATTCCCCCTCTCAGAGCTGTCACACATTGCCCGCCCTAGCAAAAGGAATGCAAAAGGAATGCAAAACCTGTTGTACCTGTGTTGCAAAGAAGCCGACAGACAGTAGGCCCCATGCGCCGCAGAAGAAGTGGACCGGGGCCGCCTCCACCGGATCATCGATTTGAAACCTGCGGGGAGGAGGGTGGGTGGAGGTGCGGCAGGGGTGGCCCTCGGATGGGGAACCACGGTGCCAGGAGGCCAGACAGAGGTTAGAGGAGGCTGCAGGGCAGGCGGGCCGTTGGCTCGCAGCCGCCGCAGGTGCCCCATCTCACTTGAGCAGGACCTTGGTGAAGGTGGTGTAGATGAGAGCCCCGATGGCGCCGATGATCACGGCGGCATACGACTGCACCAGCGCGCAGCCGGCGGTGATGGAGACGGCGCCGGCCAGGATGCCTGCAGGGCGGGGTGAGGGGGGCGAGGGAGCCATGTGTATGTGTGCCCACGTGCACGTGCGTGCGACAGTGTGTCTTCATGTTTGAATGCATGTTTATGAGTGAATGTGTGTGTGTGTGTGTGTTCATGCTCCGAGTATTTTGTGTGTGTGTGCTGCACACAGGCACTGCATGATGCATAGGAGAGCGGACGGAGGGAGGTATGCCGCCGCGGAGCACCCACCGTTGAGCAGGGGGCCGATGTCTCCTGGGTTGCCGTTGAGCACGGCCAGGAAGAGGCAGGTGAGGCCGCCGGCACCTGCAGGGGCGGCGGCGCATGGAAGCAAGAGCGCATGAGAAAGGGTTCAGGGCAGGTCTCGTGGGGCGGTAGATGGATGGCAAAGGGGAACACACGCCACCGCTCAAGGGAGGCAAGCAGGCAGGCACGCAAGCGGCCCGGCAGGCGGGCGAGGCTAGGAAGGAGCCGGCAGAGGCCGCCGCCGCTGGCGCTTGCTCGCACCTGTCGCCAGGGTGGTGTTGACTGCCACCAGCGCAGCCACCGACATGCAGCCGTAGAAGCACTGCGTGCTGCCAGCGTTGAAGCCGTACCTGCGGGACAACGGCAGGTGAGCCAAGTGAGGCAAACACACCCCCATGCCCCAAACACCCCACCCATGCCCTGGTGGCCCTTGGCCACAGCACACGGTGCGCACGCAGCAGCGGCCACGGCGGCGGCCGCCCCGCTGCCCAGGCAGGCCCCACCAGCGGTGGCGCCCCAGGCAGGAGGATTGCGGCGCCCCGGCCCGCCCCACGGGCCACGCACCAGCCCAGCCAGAGGATGAACACTCCCAGCGCCATGTTGGCTGGGCTGGAGTTGTCAAACTGGATGACGTGGCCATCCTGCAAGGGGCAGGGAGAGTGGCATGCGCAGCGGACAGAGGCATCAGCAGGGGGAAGAGTAGGGGTTGAGGTCGGGCTCAAGCTGCTGGCAGATCAGGCTCTGCGCTCGCAGTGCACGCCTCGGCGGCGAGGCGGCAGCAGCGGCCGGCAGGCACGAGGTTGGGGCGCCGCCGGCAGCAGCTGCTGCTGCAAGCAGCGCTGCAGCGCCACCCAACAGCAGCGCTTCCAAGCCGCCGCCAACCACCCCTCCCACCCTTGCTCCCACCCTTGCCCGCCCTTGCTCCCACCTTTGTGAATCGGCCCAGGCGGGGGCCCAGCATGGTGGCCCCCACCAGCGCCGCCGAGCCCCCCACCATGTGCACCACGCCAGAGCCGGCAAAGTCCATGAGGCCCATGGTACCGCTGATGAGCGGCACCTTCTGGTCGGAGCCGCAGTCGGGCCTGCGGGGGGCAGGGGCGTGCGTGTGGTTGGCTTGCATTTGGAGTCGGGTGGAGCGTGGAAAAAAAAACGGGAGGCTGGCCAGCAGGGAAGGCGGACAGGCAGGCAGGCGCGTGGGCAGCACGTGGAATCTGCGGGCAGGCAGCGGCAGCACCCGAGACAGGCCTCACCTGCGGTGCGCCGACAGCCAGCCGCTGGGGCTCCACACCCAGTGCACCACCACCGGATAGATGAAGGCAGAGATGCAGGTGGTGTACAGCAGGTACGCCCTGCAGGCAATGCAAACAGTGTCGAAACCAGCAGCAGCCTGGCGCCGGTCTTATAGTAGTATCCCGTCTCCAGCCCACAAACACACACACACACACCACACCACACCACAGCACAGCACAGCGCACCTGAACTTGGTGCGCTCGGCCATGGACCCCGACACGACGGTGGCTGCGGTGGCGGAGAAGGCCCAGCCAAACAGCCAGAAGGTCCAGTAGGTGGGCTGCGAGTTGCTGCCGGCGCTGGCGGAGAAGAAGTCGTGGTAGCCTGGAGGGACGGAGGCGAAGAAAGGGGAGGAGGAAGGGGAGGAGGAAAAGAAAGGATGAGAGGGTGGATGGCAGCTGCGCTGGGCGCTAGAGCAGGCTCATGCTCTGCTCATGCGAGGCACAGGCGAGACCCGGCAGCCGGCCCTGAACAGCAGCAGCCGCCGCGGCAGCCAGCCAGTCGCGGCGGCGCCGCAGCCCCCCACAGCGCGGCCACCAGGCAGGCCCGCGGGCGCACCGATGAAGCCGTTCTCGCCGCACTGGCCGTAGGCGAATGCGTAGCCCACAGCCCACCACGACATGGTTGACACGCAGGCATCTATGACTGCAGGGATGCAGGGAGGTGGGCAAGCCACAGAGCGAGTGAGCGTTTGTGCCTGTGCGGTAGCACAGATGCCGACAGCGGTGTTAGAATGGGACAAGGAAGGGGGGTGTGCGCGAGGCGGTGGCGGCAGGAGCAGTCGCCGCGGACCGCGGCAGGCATCGGCGCACCGTTCTTCAGCAGGATGTTCTTTGTGTTCTTGACTCGCACAGTGCCTGCTTCTAGCAGCGCAAAGCCGCACTGCATGAAGAAGACAAGGAAGGAGCACTGCAGCACCCCTGCAGAGCAGAGGGCACGGTGTGGGTGGGGAGTGCCGGGCAGAGGCGCAAGCATTGAGGGAGGTTAGGGAGCCGCAGGAATGGGCCTCGCAAGGTGGCGGCTGCATGCGCATGCCGATGCCCGGCTGCTACGCCCTGCTGGGCGCCTGCTGCTGGGCTGGCGGGTGCCTCTCCGCCAGCCGAGCGGCGGCGGCGCAGGGGTGTCAATCCAGGCTGGCGCCGGCAGGACACGGCGGCGGCCTGTGGCTCACAGAGCATGGTCAGCTGCTGGTCTAGGTAGCCTCCCAGGTCAAAGGGGTGCACCGTAATGTCCATTAGGCTGGTCGCATTGGTGGTGTTGAGAGCCAGGGTGCCCTGCAGCAGGGTGCGGCCGCCTGCCGCCGCTGCTGCCGCTACGCCCTCCGCCCCGGCGGCCAGCTGCTGGCCGCCGGCTGGGCCCGCCAGGGCGGCTGCCGCCTGACGACTGAAGTCCTCCATCGCTGCTATGCAGAGGAGCGCCGCTAGCTGGCCAGGCACGTGGGTGGGCCCACGCCAAGGACGCGATCGGCACGATGAGCTTGCCCGCCGCTTTCTGCGCTGCTGGGGGCCGCGATGAAGGCGATTGGTGTGCAGAGCAGCAGCAAAGGAGCGGTCTTGGGATTTAGGGCAGCGGGCCACCGACCCTAGTGGACAGACTTGGCCAGCGGGGGGCGAGAGCTAGGCTACGGAGCTGTCTGGAGCCGCAATTGCGATCGATGAGGCTCTGCAAGCGCGATCACTCGTCCGGTAGCTGGCGTGCACCAGGACCACCTCCCTCGGTACAATCCCCCAATGAGCTCAAATCGTTCTGATCGCGCCAGAGGAGCACTCTGCTGATCATGCCAGAAGTGCTGAAGGCGAGAGAGAGAAAATGCCTCGCTGGAGCCCCGACCCCTGTGCTGCGTTGCTCCCCATGCCAGAAGTGCAGACCAATCTCCGCCAGCTGTGTTCCATCAACACGGGGAGGGACGAGGGAGCGGCTGTGCGAGACGGGCAACCCTGCCGCCGGCACCGCCCGGAGCCCCCGCCCGGCGGCACTGCGCAGTCCCTGCTGGCATCTCAGCAAGGCATGCTGCGGCAACAACGGAATGGATTGCGCACAGAGACATGCTCCCACGGCTGGGAAGAAGAAGAGGGGATGCCCGTGCAGCCAGCGGCGCCACCGCCCCGCTCACCTCGCCCGCCGCCTGGCTGCACCCTCTCCCAGCATCCCGCGCGCTCCGCATCCACCTGCCAAGCCTCCCACCCCCACTGCCTCCACATCATGGCTCGGTAGCAAGCAGGCACGCTGCTTACAGCCAGCAGCGGCAGCGGCGTGCGAGCATCGCATGCCAGCATGGCGGGGCAAGTGACCTGCCAAGCCCCGACCCCCTCAGGATCACTACTTCTGCCACAGGGCCTCAATCTCCTCCAGAGTCTTCCCCTTGGTCTCAGGCACGATGGCGTGAATGGTGACCACCGCTCCCACGCCGATGGCGGCAAACGTGAAGTAGGTGGCTGCAGCGGTGGCCCAAGGGATCCAAGGGTCCAGAGGGGAGGAAGGAGGGCATGCGAGAAAAGAGAGTGCCAGCGCAGAGCAGAGCGCACAGGCAGGGGCAAGCACAGCACCGCTACCCTGTGCAGGTCACAGTCTGATGGACCCTCATCCCCAACAGACGCCAGGCACACACACCCACAACCGCACCCCAACCCATGCACGCTTCACCCCTGCCAACACGCTCGTGACCCTGCACACCCATGGACCCACACACCGCCCACCTGCCGGCCCAAACGATTCTGTGATGGTGGGCAGTGCCAGCGACACAAGGAAGTTGGAGCCAAAGTTGGTGAGGGTGGCCAGCGCTATGGCCTGCCCCCTGCACAATCATGGCCGGACGTGAGGGAGGGATGAGATTGCTGACCGCAGGCACCACATGCAGCCGCAGGCAGCGGCCAGCGCCGCCAGCAAACAAGGCTTCCGCCGGCTCGTCAGGCGTCGGCTGCTCCCAACAGCCCGCGGCATGTCCCTTCACTCGCCCACCTGACTTTCAGCGGAAAGACCTCTCCGCAGAGGAGCCAGGAGATGGGCCCAAAGGACAGCTGCGGGCAGACACGGAGCGAGGGAGTGGCAGCAGCATCAGGCCAACCGCCCGAGGGACCGCAGCACGCTCAGCTCCCGGTGCCAGCATTGAGCACGCAGCACTGGAGGTACACACACACACATCTCTCTCTCTCACACACACACACACACCTATCACACATGCGCACGCACACACATCACCACCATCCGCCCACCGCCTCACCTGGTAGCAGCCCACATAGAGCAGCAGCGCCACCAGGTTGGTCCACGCCACCATGTCCTCAGGTACAGGCAGGACGCCCAGCTGCGGGCAGGGCGCGCATACGTGTGGGTGCTGGTGTGGTGGTGGGGCCGGCGGGGAAGGGATGCAACACGCAGCGGACTAGAGCCGTCCTTTGTTCACAAGAGACAGCACAGCACAGCACAGCACAGCACAGCACAGCACAACCCCGCATGTACACAGCACAGCACAGCACCCTAACCCGCGCTACCTGTGCTGTGCCCAGGGCCAGCAGGCTCAGCACGATGCCGCTCACGCCGTACAGCAGCAGCGGGCGCCGCCCCCAGCTGTCCACCGTTGCCACCGCTATGCCTGCAGTGGGTGGAGCCAGGCCAGCATCAGCTGCTGCCCTACTCAGACCTGCCGCCGTGCCGCAAGCCCGGTGTGCCAAGGCAGGCGCTGGCAGGGCGGGGCAGCACCGCTGACTGTTCCCTCTCAAGACAACCAAGCCTGAAGCCTGACCAGCCGGCAGCAACAGTTGCATGCAGTGAGTGGCTCCACAGTCCCTCCACACCCCACCTGTCATGATGAGCTTGAAGAAGCCCAGCACCAGGGACACGCCCGTGGCCTCCTCCGCGCCAGCAAACCCGGCCGCCTGAAACACACACACAAATGGATCCATTTCAACAGGTGGGAGCCGATTCTTTGACGAAAGAATTTCTTTGACGAAAGAGTAACAAGAGAAGGCAGTCACCTGGAAGATCTTGGCTGCGTAGTAGAGCACGCTGGGCTGGCCGGTGATCTGCTGGAAGAGCATGAGGGACATGCCGATGGCGAGCGGGCGGCGGTACCGCGGCCGCAGCAGCTCCGCAAAGTCTGCGGGGCGGCAGGTGGGGAGAGGGATGTGCGTGTGGCGTGTGGGTAGATGGTTGGTGGTGTGGGGTGTGAGGGGCAGCACGCGGCATGCAAGAAGAAGCACTCTGTTGCAGGCAGGAAGGCAGGCAGGCAGGGTCCCCACAGGGGCTGCCGGTCGGCAGACGCCCAGGCGAGCGTGAGTGCCAGTGCTGGCACCCGCGGCAAGGCTGGCACCCGGCACGCACCAAAGGCGCCGCCGCCGCGGGACACAGCCATGGGGCTGGCCGCCATGGCCTCTAAGATGCCGTCCACCTCAGCCTGCGGTACAAGACGAGCAGTACAATGGTACAGGTGCTGGTGCCATGGGGAGCGGCCCACAACTCGAGCAAAGCCCTTGTGAGCCCCCCCCTTCACACACACACCACCGCCTCCCCACCTGCACCACCGCCTCGTTGGCCGTGCGGCCCTTGGCCTTGCGCAGCGCCGCGGATGCCGCCGCGGGGCCCGCCCCGGACAGCAGCAGCCAGCGGGGCGACTCTGGCAGCCACAGCATGCCTGCAGGGTTGAGTGGAGGTGTGCAATGCGCCATGGCTAAGCATGTGGCCTGCGGCTGCCTCTGCCAGGGGCTGCAGCTGGGCAGGAGCCGCCGGAGCCGCAGCGGATGCTGCTGCTGGCCAGGCCCGCCAGTCGCACACGCGCCGAACTGTTTGCTCGGATTGGCTGCCAAGCCAGCCCCACGCGCCGCCACCATCACCGCGGCCAACACACGCTCACCTGCTGCCAGCACCACAGCAGGCGCGGCCGCCAGTCCATACATCCAGCGCCATCCGCCGAGCTGCTCCACAAACACAAAGGAGGCTGCGTAGCTGCAGGCAGGCGAGGGGTCACAGCGGTGGATGGAGGGCGGCAGGCATGGGTGGCAGGCGGGGGGCCAGCGGGCATCGTGGCGGACGGGCAGGGGCCCGGCACCAGCCCAGGGCTGCCAGCACCAACCCTGCAGCTTCCGCTGCTTCGACACGCTTCCAGCGCAGCCCCAGCACCGCACACAACCTGGTCGCCAGTACCGCTCCCCCCTGGCTCACCCCGCCAGGATGCCGCCCACGATGAAAGCTTCCTTGAGGCTGATCAGCAGGCCCCTCACTCGGGCCGGGCTCGTCTCTGCTATGTAGGCGGGTGCTGCGTGCATGGCAAAGCCGATGCCCACCCCATACAGCAGCCGCCCCGCCATCACTGTGGGCAAGCCCGGCGCCAGGGCCACCACCAGCGAGGCAGCGCCTGCGGTGGTGGGGATGGGAGGGAGGCAGTTGCGCGCCAAGGCACGGGCATGGGCGTCAGGCAGCGGGGCCCGGCAGCAAAGCAGCAGCAGCCACGTGTGAACCTGCTGCACTTCTGCACTAAACGGGGTACAAGGGGCACCAGGCGATCAGGGCACATCAGGATTGGCGCCTGCACACCACGCACCGTACAGCGCCGACGCTCCCAGCAGCTCCCTGCGCCGCCCTAGCTTATCGCCATACAGCAGCGCCGCGCCTGCGCCAGCACAGGCCGGCAGCAGAGGGCGGCAGTCGGCACTCGAATGGCTATGGCCGCTCCAATCGGCAGGCACAGCTGCTGCTACACTGCCTGCTGCTGCCCGCCAGGGCATAGCTCACAGCCCATCACCTGAGCCGAGCAGAGCGCCCGCCAGCGACAGGCTGACCACCAGTCCCGACTGGAAGGCGGACAGGCTGTACCAGTCTGTACCGCTGTACTGCTGGCTGGTCATGGACACCAGCGCGCCGCTGGTGGCCCCGATGTCGTACCTGCAAGGTGTACCGCCGAGGCAGGCGGCAGGAGTGGTTGGATGGCGGGCCAAAGGCAGTAGAAGGGGTGGATAATGCAGCACAGCAAGCGGGGCATGGGTACTCGCGCAAAAGCAACGGCCCGGTACCTCCCAAAGCGCACCCAAACAGCAGGCCGCCGATCGCGGGGAAGAGGAAGAGCAGGGACGTGGTTAGCCAGTCCACATCCTCGCCCTCGTGCCCGCCCTGCGGTGCCTGCCGCTTGGCCAGCTGCGCCCGCTCGGGCCGCGGGCGCTGCACGGGCAGCAGCGGCGCGCCCTCCACCTCCAGAGTCTGCCGTGCCTGCAGGGCTCCCAGTGAGCACATAGTATGATGGATCAAGAGGGTTGGGACACCTGTCTGTCCGGATTCACACACCTCCGAGCTGGGAGCACAACCAACCGCCGGCAGAGGCTTGTGGCGCAAGGCACTCAAGCTGCCAAAGAGCGCAGATGCTACGGCCACCCACCTCGGGCTGCTCTGGAGCCAGTGCATCACCCTCTGACGAGGCATGGACGTGGTGGAGGCCAAAGCGCGTGGGAGAGCGCGCTCGCAGCTGAGACGACATGGCGGCGATTGTGGCGGCGTCGGCGGCGGCAATTCTGTGGCTGCCGCCGGCTGCTGCCTGGCGGCGGCGCGGGAGAGTCCTGCGATCATCAATCCGCATGCAGGACGCGCTCAGTGGCAAACCAAGGGGGCGTGTGCTGCACGGGTGCCGAGCAAGCTGCCCCAAGCGTTGCCCCATCCCGCTGCGGCGCCACTCACGGGCTGCGGCGATGGTTGTGCGCGGTATGCGGGGCGAATGCGCGACGCTCTCCTGCTGTGGCCAACAGTGACCCTCTCAGCATCCCACCAGGGCCTGCCATCCCACAAGCGCTGCTCCAGATTGTGTCTATGCATGCTAGCGGGGCGATGGCGAGCCCTACGAGATGCGCCGCCCAGCAGACCACAGCAGCGTCGCTGAGGTGGCGGGGCGGGAGGGCGGGAGGCGGCGCGTGCGGTCAGGCCAGCTGAAGCAATCGCTGGTGGACACTAGTGCACCGAACGATCATGCCGCCGGCTCAATTATGTATGTATCGTTACGTCAAAAAGGGGGGCTACTGCTTCGCAACTACTGCCCGGCTATCAAATAATGGTCTAAAGCTAGACGTTAAAACCGGGAAGTTAAGCCTGTGGAGGCTCTTCCCCACCTTTACCTTTACCTTTACTACTGCCCGGCTACAGAATGTTGAAGCAGGCTGCTAGTGTGCAACGCCCCGTTGCGGCATGCACGTTTTATTTGGGGGCGATTGAAAGAGGAGGGGGGGACGGGCGCCATGGCAAGGCCTTCCACAGCCCTGACGGTGCAGAGGTGAGTAGCACGCAGGGCAGGGGCTGGCAGGCAAGCCAGAAGGAGGCGCCCGGGCTCCACCTGATCCTCAGCCAAGAGCTGGGGGCAGGTGGTCAGGGTCGGGAGGGAGAGAGACATATGAGGAACAGATCTGGGGTATTCAGGGCGTGCAAGGGCACAAGGCGTGGCCAAAATTGGGGGCTGGCGCAAACGTGCTGCCGCAGTCTGATTTACTTGGTGATTGCTGGCATAATCGCTGGGCTGAACTCTTGATGAAGATTCTTGGTGAGCTGTCTTAGCTGCTCGCTGTTGCTGAATGGCGTGCGTTTGTTCCTTGAGGAGGGCTGGGCGCCCTGGGACCTTGCAGCCCCGGGGCAGCAGGCTGGCTCCTGGCGCGGGAATCGGCGGGCTGCCTGCCCTCGTGCTCGCCGCTGCCGAGGGCTGCAAGCTCATGACCAGCAGCTGCCTGCCTCCTCCCGCTCAGCGCAGGCGCAGCTCACTTCAGGAGGTCCAGCTCGATCTTGGTCCTCCAGGGGCACACCATGGTGGCCCACGGGTCGATGACGCGCACAGGCAGGCGCCGGATGCGCGCCTGCTGCTCGCACACCCAAGACACCTCGCCCTGAACCACCAAGCCGCTGCCCTGCACGTGGCACACAAGCCAGCAAGGGGGGCTTGGAGCCGGAGGGGGGGCAGCGGGGGCTTGGAAGCCGGACCAAGCACGCTGAGAGCTGGAGCCAGCGTGCTGCCGGCGACGTTATGGCAAGCGGCGGGCACCTTGGGGCCGATGCAGCCGGCGCCATGCTTGACGGCAATCCACTTGAAGCCGATCTTGGAGCACCAGGTGCCAGCAGGGACGTACTGCTTGCCACGCTGCAATACAGGCAGTGCAAGAGGCTCAAGAGGGCTGGGTTTGGGGGTGGTCAGGCTCTGATAATGAGCAAGATGGGTGGGCAAGCAGCACCAGGCTGATGGCACCGAGCAGACATTAAGAGGCATTCTGTTGGCAGGCGGGCCACAGCTCACCGCAGAGTCAGCCAGCCAGCGCCTGCAGCAAAACACGCGGCGGCGCAGCACAGCAGGCGGAACAATGGCGGGTCAGTGCGCTGCCACAGTTCGAATGACATTGAATAGAAGCACAGGAAAGTAAAGGAATGAGTGCCAGCCGCTCACTCGAGGAAGGTGAACACCACAGACTTGGGCGCCTTCCTGTACCCCGCCGGGCACAGCAGCGTGCCGGGGTTGTACTCGCTGCAGTGAGGTGGGTGGTGTGTGGAATGCTGTCAGCTGCGAGTGCGCTACCGGTGAAAGGAATACTGCCGGTTAGCAGGTGTAGCTGGCCAGTGCAGGGCAGGCAGGTGGCGGTGCGGCGGCGGTGCACTCACACGACCTCCTTCTTGCTGGGGCTGGGGAAGGTCTTCTTGCAGCCCTTGGGCAGCACCGTGGCGGTGCTCATGGAACCGGCGTTGCGCATGTTGTTCCAGCACGGGTTGCTGCAGTGGGCAGCGGTGGTGGGATGCGGTGGGTAGTGTGTCGGGTGGGTGGGGTTGCTGTTTGGGTGTGTAGCAGGCAGGCACACGGGCAGGTATGGCTGATGCGGGCAGGTGGTGGGCAGGTGGCGGTAACCAGGCGCGGTGCCTGCTCACTTCGTGACGATGTTGCACCAGTACTTGCCCTTGCCATCAGTGCAGTGCGGCTTGATTTCTGGGTGGAAAGCAATGAGGAAGCAGGGGCAGTGAGCAGCTGCTCAAGCAGCTCCACTGCTGTCCTTTCCGCCATCCTGGGTGGGAGGGCGCTGCCCGCCACTCACTGGTCTTGTAGTAACGGAGCCCACTGTTCTCGATCATCTGAGGGAAGGCGTCGCAGGCTTGCTCGTGGGCATACTTTTGCCACTGCAAGGCAGCGCAGGTGCGGGATGGCGGCAGCGGCATTCAGGCGGCGGCGTGAGATATGTGTAGGTGAGTCCCACGCACGCTCGAACCCGATGTCGAGCAGCCTGCAGAGGTCCCCCTAACACGTATCAGGAGACCGCACAGTGTCGGGGGGGGCTGCAACACCGAAACTGGCCTGGGGTGTGATAAACGCATCGCATCACTCCTCCCTCGCACCTCCCCGCCTCTCCCTCTTGCTTCTCCCGCTCACCTCTCCAATGCAAACTTCGGCCGCATAGGTCTTCTCCCAACCAGACCGGACATGCCGTTTCCCACGCCCACAGCTCGCCGAGGCCGTCATCTCGCCCACGAGAGCCTCAGCGGCGGCAACGCCCTCGGCATCGGCCAATTGACCGCCGGGAGGGGTTTGCGGGGGCTGGGCGTGGGCGCTGCCCACCAACAGCAGGGCGATGAGAAACACAGACGTGCTCATGTTGGGTGCGAACGAGAAGCAAAGAGCAGGGTGAGGGTCGGGTAGGATTCTGCTTGAAGGGGGGGGGGGGGGGGGGGGGGGGGGGGG